GTTTAGGGTTTAGGGTTTATTGATTGCCACGAACAATAGCTGAGCTGAGTCGTCCGGTCCACAGACCGTATACCCTTAAACTTGCAGTCAAAGCATCACCCGAAGCCTCATAGCAAAGCCACTGACATAAAGGAGCATGATACTTCCCGTACGGCTAACAATCCAAATATGTGGGTCCTTAAACCCTTCCAAGTCTTGTAAGCCCTTACACTATATGAACTCAACGAGTTGAAAGCTCACCACCCTGTCCACCAAGTAACGCCGAAAGCATCGTTGCTCTGGGTGAACATGCACCACCACCTCGGCCGGTGCATCAACGCCGGCAAGACACATGCGGGCTTGCGGGTTTAGGTTGAGGAGCCGAAACAACTTGTGTTTGCGATATGTCCTTTTGCGAACAGACACCTTAAACGAAGAAAGCCCATCTTTGGTTTCAGCAAAACCTACACTCAAAATCTCTAAACCCTAAACCTTAAATCCCTTGTTAAACCCCAGAATAACCCACGGACCTTATAGCCCGAAATGTCTCTATATGTGAACCATAAGTCCTCCAATCCCGAATATAAAGCCTAAATCCTAAGAACCCCTGTGTAAACCCTATAAAGCCTACATCGATGTGTAAAGCCCAAGCACCTCAACCGAGCCCGAGGCACTTGCGCTTGAAGTGGATCCCGGCGAAACGCTCCGCCGTCCTGGTGTTTATCGGGATCATACTGTTGATGATATAAATCCTGCATTTTGAGGACACTAAACTATGGGAATTATGGTATATTCCTTTTTATGGGTACTGCAGGATTTATATCATCAACCGTAGTTTAGGGTGTCGGGTTCAGGAACTACCATAATGGAGTGAAAAGGCAAAGGTATACATGAGTCTATTGCGAGGATTACCTACACCCTTATGTCAGTCCCCCCTGCAGAACCAGTAAGCCGTGGTCCAGTGATGGATCGGCGTGGCCGGGATCAGCAACAGCTTGGCAGGATAAGCCACAAGCCCCAGCCTATTACGGTCAGGGAACCCTAAAACCAAGCTTCAAAACTCCAAAAAACCTCTTAACCTCTGAACCTTCGGTTTAGGGCTTAGGGTTTAGGGTTTAGGGTAAACCCCTACCCCCGATCTTTGGAGAAACAAGAAGCCTAGGTTCTCCAGTAACCCCTTAACAATAAGGGTACCCTTTTTCCTCATTTTCGGCTTGAATGTGGAGACTCCCAAATAACAAGGGCAAAAGGGTACTACTCAGGAACCTAGGTGCCATTCTCTAAACCCTAAACCCTAAACAACCCTAAACCCTAAACAAAAAGGGCAAAAGGGTACTACTGGGGAGCCAAGAAGCTGAAACATCATGTTGAAGAGGCCGATGCCACGCCCAGGATCTGACTCTGCCTGGCAGTTGGAGGGTCGCTGGGAACTTAGAAAGTGGTTTAGTTTTAGGGAGTTCGGTTTAGGGTTTAGGGTTGGGGTTTAGGGTTTAGGTTTAGGGTTTAGAGTTTAGGGTTTAGGGTCTTAGTAAGTGGCTGTTTTTTTGGAGTTAAAAAGTACCATAACTCCAATTAGGATCGGGTTTAAGGTGCTTATAACTCCACTTTCGGTTGATGGTATAAACCCTGCATTACCCATAATAAGGAATAGACCGTAATTCCCATAGTTCAGGGTCCTTAAGGTGGATTTATACCATCAACCCTGCTACCCACTTATTACGTCCCCCGACACTCCGAGTGGCAATTGAAGGGGCCCTGCCCTCAAGTCAACCATAAACCTACCATGGGGCTCCCGTAGCTAGTTTCCTGTTTACAAGGGTGCCGTACTACGTTGGGGACCCAAAGAGGGACCCTAATTTAGACAACTTCCCATATGAAGGAACTCAATTGGCTTTACTCATCAATCCGGCTTCTAAAGGGTAAAGGGTTTAGGGTTTAGGGTTTTGGGTTTAGGGTTTAGAGTCTTAGGCCCCAGGGTTAGACGGGATCCTTAATGCAAGGACTTTCAAGAAGGGATTCGTGAGCCAACTTAGGCTTAGCTATCAAAGGGATAGGGCAGGACAGCTTGCGGGAGTCATTGAAGTGCAAGCGACTAAACTCTAAACCCTAAACCTAAACCCGAAACTCCTAAACCCTAAACCCTAAACCCGAAACTCCTATATAAACCCTAAACCCTAA